AGCTCTCCAGCTGCCACCTGGAGATTGGCAACAGCTTGTTTGGAGGGTGGGTTCTATGGCATATCTGTCTGAGGTCCCCCTCTTCCTCCTCCTCAGACCCCACCCTCAGCAGGTTTCATCCCTAAAATATCCTGGAAGTTTCCAACCTGGAGTTGGCAACCCCTATGTCCTTTCCAGGCAACCATCAGCCTACCTTTATCTGCCTGCCTGTCTTCAGGTTTACACCCCCACCCCCCCGCAGCCTCTGCCTAGGGAAAGGGCAGTTCTTTTCCATATCTTAAACCATTGGTCTAGATCAATATTATGTCTCAGATTTTGTGCCCATTTAATTATAGAACCTTTTACCACTTCATCCTGTGTTTTGGTTTCTAACATTATTGTATACAATTTCTTTATCAATTTATCCTCTGCATATAACAATATTTTATCTATTTCATTTATCTTTTCGTAAAAACCTTCTTCTTTGTCTTTAACATATCTAGAGTCTAATTATAGAACCTTTTACCACTTCATCCTGTGTTTTGGTTTCTAACATTATTGTATACAATTTCTTTATCAATTTATCCTCTGCATATAACAATATTTTATCTATTTCATTTATCTTTTCGTAAAAACCTTCTTCTTTGTCTTTAACATATCTAGAGTCTAATTTTACCCTTTCCCACCAATTCAAATCTATATCCTGTTTTTTAAGATCTTCTGTTGTTTTTAGTACATTTTTACAATCCAACAGGTCTTCGTACCTATGAAATAAACTTGTTTTTAAAAGGTTTGGATTTGTAAAAGCTTCAAGTGGTGAGACCCATTTTGGTATCTTAGTGTAATAAAGTATTTTCATTTCTTCCCAAAGTTTCAAAATGGCTCTTCTAAGAATATGTTGTTTAAAGTATTTATGTGTTTTTTCTTTGTCATACCATACAAAAGCATGCCATCCCAATAGTAAGTCATGTCCTTCTAAATTTAAAAGTCTTGTATTTTCCAAAATAATCCATTCTCGTAGCCAAGTCAACGCAGCTGCTTTGTAGTATAAAGACCAGCCTGATAAGGCAAATCCTGCTCTTTCTTTTGCATCCTGTAATGCTTTTAGTTTAATTCTTGGCTTTTTATTTTGCCATATAAACTGTGTTATCAGTTTATCTAGGTCTTTAAAATATTTTTGGATTATTGGGATTGTTTGGGAAAAAAAGATTAATATTGGTAAAATATTCATTTTTATTGTAGCTATTCTTCCCATTAAAGATAATTGTAAGTCTTCCCATTTCTCAAGTTCCTTTTTAATTTCCATTAAAGGTTTTATATAATTATCCTGTAATAAAGAACTGCATGTTTGTTAAATTTATTCCTAGATACTTGACTTTTTTCTGTACTTCAATTCCCGAGATTTCCTGCCGTTTATTTGTTCTTTTGTCAATTTTTTTGTTAAAATCTTTGTTTTGTTAGTTAATTTTCAGACCGGCTACTTGACCATAATCTTGTAAAGTTTCCAAAAGCAGTATCATTGAGTCTATTGGATTTTCTAGAATAAAAACCAGATCATCTGCAAAATCTTGTAATTTAAACTCTTCACCTCTTATTTTCAATCCCCTAATCTTTGTATCTTCTCTGATCATATTGTTCAGTGTTTCAAGTATGAAAATAAAAAGTAATGGGGAGAGTAGACATCCTTGTCTAGTTCCTTTTTTGTATCTCAATATTTTGTGATAAATCCCCATTAACCAGTATCCTTGTTGTTTGGTATAGATGGCTTTTACCATAATATAAAATTGTTCTCCACAATTCCATGCTAACAATTGTTCTAACATAAAGTTCCAGCTGACGTTATCAAACGCTTTTTCCAAATCTATAAAGACCAATGCCATATGTTTCTCTGGATGTGCTTCAAAATACTCAAGTACATTTAAT